TACATACATACATACATACATACATATAAAATTCTCCAAACGGCACCCGACGAGTTTCGTCATCACGAAATGCGTCAAACGCGGTTGAGAAAGCCGTCGAAAGTCGGTCGGATCGTCCATCGACCTAAGTGTCCCGGGTCATTGCCATGGGTGGAGAGAAAGAGAGAGAGAGAGAGAGAGAAAGAGAAAGAAAGCCCTGGGATGTATAACCTGATCTCTTGTGAAGATCGAGATTCGCCTGTCGACGCGAATCAGCATGACAATGAACCAACCGTCCCGTAACCCACGACGTCATTCCAGCACAGCACGTAAAAACCCGTGCCCCGTCTTGGAAGAAGTGGGTTGTTTCCGCATGCAATTTGCCAATCATATATAGCAGCCGACGCGAGTTGTGTAAAAGTTCACGTTTCGCACAGCCGTAGGAGTAACGAGCTCGTGTTTTGTGTAGGGTAAATGCTCCAATAAATCGTTTAACAGATATTACGGTGGAGAGTGTATAGTCTAATTCCTTTATCTTATGTATGACGAATGTTATAATATTCGAATAATAGCACCGTTATGAATAATATTGTATAATATTCGAATAATAGTGCTCTTTACACGCATACGCGTGCTATTCTGTCAAAATTCTTTGAATATTATCAAATCAAGTAATGATAATGTGCGCATTTTTTTATTTTTATATTTTTATGGTATTATTTTTTTTTTTTAGGATGCAACTAAGTATTGCTGTTAATACTTCTAGCATATTGCGTCATTCAGCCTTTGAATTGAAGCGGAGTGAGCATGTATGCGTGTATAATCTCTCGCGATTTCACGAATCTTTCGCACTCTCGCGAGAAGGTCAGGAAGCAATTAATATTGCGTAACAGGTGACATATCTGTAGAAATAACCGTTATTATGATCCATCTCTCCTACTTGCCGTTACTTTCACAGTGAAATGACGCTCGTGCAAGCTGTTTAGCTTATTATTATTCGATTCAATGTGATATATGCAGCACGCGCTGCTGCTAATCAACTGATCGAGCATCACGTCAGCGATATTATAATTGGATCCCGATTCTTCGTCAAAATATTCGAAATTAGTAAAATAAGCTCTTTCACCGGCCAGAAAAACAAACAGACAAACACATTCCTTTCCTTGAGAAATTGGAGATGTTATTTCCGATTATTTATATTTTTAAACCTAATGTTTTTCACCGAGCAAATGGAAGAAAGAAGAGAAAAAAGTCTCGCGTTAGATACAAAATGATTGGATCGTAAAGATAAAAGCTTTGATTGTTAAATGGAAGAAACAAAATTAAACTTTAAAACAAAGGCGATGAATAACTTTTCGCTTCTGCTGCGGAATCCACAGTCCAAGTTAGTTTTATCAGCCATTAACCGCATTCAACTGGAATAACATCGCAACAAAGTGGCATAAATTTACCAAAAGCGGAGCGGAATTTATCAATTGGCGATAGTTGTTTTCGAGATCGACAAATATGTCTCAGTTCTATATACGAGCGTACGTGTCACTTAACACAAACGCCAGTCTGATTCATATAATACAAATTTTTAACGGAATAGCGTCCAGATAAGATCTATTTTCGCGGCAACTTCTGAACAAAGCGTTGCACGCGATGAGAATTTCACGCCACGAGAATTCCGCCTTCCCTCCGCCTTCTCCCATTTCAACCTGGCCTAACTCTGACTTCAGTTTAAAGTTTCGGTTTAGAGCAAATCGATAGATTACCGAAGAGCCAAGACCAGGTCAAGTGTATCAAGGACGTACCTGCAATTTGCACCGAGCCGAACAGTTTCCGGAAAGTTTAATTTGAATTTTAATCGCCGAGATATTGATTATTTATAAATCACGACGAGCGAATCATTTGCTCGCTCGAAACTTCCGTATAGGAGAAAGGGACATAAAATTCTCGGCAATCCAAAATATTATGCAACGTTAAGACGTCCGTTAAGAAAAAGCGAAATTATTCAGGATAAAATTGACCTTTATGAATAATAACTTACTTCTACTTGCGATCGAGAGATCACGATGAGCAATTCGCTCGTTCAGAACTTCCGTATAGGGGAAAGGGACATAAACTTCTCGACAATACCAAATATCGTATAGTACATTAAGACATTCTAAAAAAAAAGGGAAATTGGATAAAATTGGCCTTTATGAATAATAACGTTCTTATACGTTCTCGCGAATTGGAATCGAGGAAGTCGAGGAGGAGATAGCTTCCGGTGAACCCTAATGGAGCCGGAAACTGGACTTTCACCCCGCGGCAATAAATTCGCTGGCCGCGTAATTTTGCGTAATTTTGGAAATTCACGCGGAAATTCATCGGTCACGCGAGGAAACGGCGAGGGGAAACGGAAACGCGCAGTAAGCACGAGCACGAAGGACGACGTTAGCGGCGACGATAATGCATTTGTCCGACATCGGCGGTGTATCGCGCGTCGCGATACGCTTCGATGCGCTCTAGAGACGCGGGGGATTTCCTCGCCTTCCGGGAAACGGACTCACTGGCGATCTGCAGGCCCAGCATCAGCGTGAAACCGATAATTATCGCGACGAGCTGCAGCAGGCCGCTCTTCTCGTTCGCCCTCTCCCGCGCCAGCACCTCGAAAAACACCACGTAGAGGAGGTGCCGGCCGCCATGCCCTGGAGTATGGTGGGCGTGGGTCCTAGATTCTCGCTGTCGTTCTTGAAGTGGTCGAGGGCGAGCCCTATGGCGATCCCGATCGGCGTCACCATGGAGAAAATCGACAGGTAGCCGAGCATGGTCCTGGTCGACGCGCCAGCCACGTAGAGCTCCATCCCGACGCAGAAGGAGATCACCAGTTTATGGGTCGCTATCGCGGCCGCCAGATACGCGACCGAACTGATGGACGGTTCCAGGCCCACCGCCAGACCCTCGAATATCGCGTGGAAAGACAGCGCGAGCACGGTCAGGAGTCCTTGCACCGAGGTATTTTGCATCATCGGGCCGTGCTGATGATGCTGCTGCTGCTGCTGCTGCTGCTGATGATGATGATGATGATGATGATGATGATGATGGTGATGATGGTTATCGTGGGTATGATGATGCTTGACCGGATAGTTCAGTTCCGGCATCGTCAGTTCCAGGTCGGAACGCTTCTGATGTCCTTCGTTCGACAATCCCGAAACAGGTAGGACGAATATAGTCGGCAGCACTTTGTCATCCTTCCCCATCTGATCGCGAGAATCGTCAAGCTGGAACTTGGATCGATCCACGTTCACTCGATCCCCGTTGTCTTCGACATCGTCGGTGTCCTTCCACGTGGTGGACTTGGTCGTCGTGGACACGGTCGTAATCGAGCCGTTCGACATCACCGCCGAGCCCGACGGGCCCGTCTGATTGTTGTTACATCTGCGCACCGACACGGTCCGGTAGAGCAACGCTTCCGAGGACTCGGGTTTGCCGGTAAGTGCGGCGTGCACGGCTTCCTCGACTAAGTAAACGAGGAAGAAACCGCCGCAGAAGAGCAGCTCGGCCAGGCCGAGAGTTCCCAGATCGGGTAGCTGGCCGTTCGACTGGTGATTCTCGACGCTAGCCCGCACCTCAGGCGCCAGATGCACGAACGTCGTGAACAGGAGCACGCCGCCGCCGAAGCAGAGCAAGAGCGACGTCAAGAGACCCTAAGGACGAGGTCGCGATGCTTTTGGGATTTACGTTTATTTACATAGGACGCTCGGTTTATCTACCTCTATGGACTCTTTGGCCGCTTTGGAATCATCTTTCACGCGGCATAAAATAACGTCGCATAAATGTAATTGATTGATCGATTTAAAATTTTAATTCGTTTTCGCTATTCTGGACCCTAATCAGACGCGTATGCACGTATGACGCTGTTCGCAGCTGAGAGAGAGTCGAGAATCGATCGATTCCAGAGAGTTCACAGACGTAGATAGCAAAACGTCCTGTAATGAGCAGCTACTCCGGACATGTTACGATTAATACGTGATCGGCTGACAATCAGATTATTAGGCGAGCTATAGATATAAGCATATAGATGTAAACATCTTTTGCAATCGTGACCTTATTTCTGACGCGATGATCAGATATTATCCGTCTCGACTTCGTGCCGTTAGATATTTTCGTGATCGCATGTACATTGATACATTTAAGATTTTAAATCAGTAAATCGTGTATAAATCATGCAGTAAATCTAGAACAAAAAAACTAATCGATATTCAGAAATTATAAAAACATGTAATTACAAGATACTCAATATAAGTAACGCGTCTAACGTCTAAAGCATGCAAGGATATCTACTTATGTCAAGGATATTACGCTCTCATTGTATTTATTATTTTCTCGCGAACGTGACTTTCTAACGTTAAACGTCGAAAGGAATTGGATAGATTTATAAATCGACACAAAGACGAGTCGTCCGGAGATGCTGCGAATGGACCGAACACCGGCGATCTCTCGGGTGGGATTTTTGGGTGTTTTTCGAACGTACTTGCTTGTTCGCCGCGGAGGTCGAGTCAATGGTCGGTGAGGGCGCGTTGAACGTCGAAGTGGATGTGGAGGTGCTGGTGTGATTGGAGGATATCGCCTGGCGACGGTTCTGAAGTCGCCTTTTGGCGCTATAACGTCCCACCATCAACGGCAAGGTTCCCAGCGCGAGGGAACCAAAGCCGAGACCGATCATCGCGCCGATCTTCGACATCAGAAGAATATTGGACGTCGCCGCGTTCTCCATTTCACCCCTTCGATAGGAAACGGTAACGATTTGACAAAGAGAGGAATGCCGATCTCTACCTGTCTTTCTCTCTCTCTCTTTCTCTCTTTCTCTTTCCTTCTCAATGAAAAACTTCACAATCGCTGGTATCGCAGCCGGGATCACACAACTCTCGCTAGGCGAGTAGTACGCGAGTGAAATGTCACGAGTAAAATCCACGCGGGACGCCGAGGTTGCGGCAAGGTTTATTTCATCACCACTTCACCACCTTTCTCTTTCGTGCATTTCTGTCGGCGACGAAGATTCATCTCACGATCCTGCACTCCTTCTAACGCGGACCGTTCCGTTCTCTGATTTTTCGGAGATTTTTTTTTTTCGGCGAGGACGATCGAAGGCTGCTCGCGGCGATCTAAGTCACGGGGCTGATCGGGCCTGAGATTGTTCTCTCAGTCGATCTGCGTTAGACTCTGCAGCTTTGCACGAAGCGAAGTCGATCGCGAGCGGCGAAAAGCTCCACGCGCCGCGACGGCCGATCGGACACTACTCCGGTCTCGACGGGAACTCGGCTCGATCGGACCCCTCGGCCGCCGCCTCGTCGTCTTACATAGTCCGAACCGAACCGTTTCCTGCCCACTCCCGCGGCCGTTACGCTCGTCCTTGTCCAACAATCACCCGCCAGCGTGCATACTCTTTCCGACACCTGCAGCACGGCTGTGATCGTCCCTCGTTCAGTGGCGTAAAACGACGGTCCCGCGGAGTCTCCCCCCCCCCTTCTCTCTCTCTCTCTCTCTCTTCTCTCTCCTCGCCGGAACGCCGAGATCGAGAAGAAAAAAAAAAACGCCAGAACGCACATATGAAAGTAAAATAGGGAAGTAAAAGTAGAATGGGGAGAAATAAACGAAAGGGAAGACAAGGACAAGGAGTGAAAGTATGATGAAAAAGACTGGGGAGGAGAGAGTCCAGAGTTGAAACAAAGAGGAAGGCAGGGAGAAGTAAGGCAGGGGTTGAAAAGGGGAAAGAAAGAACGGATGGAGGATTGGAGGAAGATGAGGATTGTCGAATTTTTAATTTTATCATTACGCGCGACGCATTGTTGGGCACTCTAAACGTCGGTTACATCGCTGTAACCTCAACGGAGAGCCCGCGACGGAGAGCGACGCGTAATGCATTTTCCCTCCTTCGCGGGGGGGGGGGGCGGATGTGCTTGTGCGTGGGCACGTGTACATATACGTGCACGCATGAATGAGAGAAGTTCGTCGGAGACGTTTGTGTACGTGGCGGGGGGCACGCGTGCAGACGCAGACTCTTCCACGTTTGCGCCCACAGTGTCATAAATAACACTCGCGCCGACGAAAATTAGACCGCAAGAGAAATGAATCTTCTTGAATTGCGGTCGGCATAACGAGGGGAGATTAAGTAAGGGAGTTTAAAGTCTCTCGAATAAAAATCAACCCCCCCTGAATTTCTCGTATTAGAAGCTAATTTCTCTTAATCGAGAGATGATATCTATTCAATTTCTGTACCGCCGTGAGAGGAATGAGAAAATGTAAAAGTAAGAACGGCTCCGCACTGATCACTTTCATAGGATAGAGACATAAATTTAGCGATGTGGGCCACCGAGACGATCCACGCCTCCCGATGATTATTCGTCGGCTCTACGATACTTTCACCCTCTATCGTGTGAAAAGCGAAAGGATACCGCCACCGTGTCGGACGTTCCGTTGGAAACGTCGTCGAAAGCTCGAGGTACTACGGAATATCTCGTCCAACAACAATCGAGATCGGCGACAATGATGACGGCGTTCGTCGCCGTTAATTACTCCGATAAGTAATCGCAATTCACAATTGCGACAATCATTATTTTATTGCGATAGTTTCTATTTTTTTCCATCTCCTTCCAGCGATCGCCGGATGATAAGCCGCGCAAACGAGCGTGAAGGATACGCGCGAAAGAAACACTTCACGTGATTCATATAAATAAATACGGTTCGCTTTTTCGTGTCGTTCATTTTTCGAATTCGACGATTGGTCATCTTTGGCGAACGGGAGAATTTTTCAACGACGCGCAAAATCGAACGTTACGGGAATCGTGCCGTGCCGTGAATCACCGGCAGGATGTCCTTTGCATTTTGTGCCACATTCTCTTTCTCCCCCTCCCAACCCGTTCCCCTCGCATTACCTATCTCCCAGAGTACATATAGTTAGCAAGTTTGTACTCAAACGTGTGTCATTTCGAGTATTAGCCTCGACAATCGCACGCGACACATCGCATGCAATCTTTTCTCTCTTTGGAGGCTGAAAACGACGCATACATCGACACACCGCGATAAGTTGGCTGTTGACCAGCGACAATATAATTGCACACTGCTAAAAGAGATAAGAATCGACTTCGCTTCGATGACCCTCGACCCCGGATACATGCCCGAAACGTCATCCTCGGTACATTTCGAAATTTCATTCACAGAACACTTTCCCGTTCTTCCCCAATATATTTAGATTTGCACCAATTGAATGTCTTTAATCTAAAATTATTTTTTAGCCTTTCAGCCTTTATGTGGGTACCATTTAGAGAAGGAAGAAATATTATATAAATTATCTATAGAGAAAAACCTATATAGTCGAAAAAATTATATCGACTAGAATCTCGAGTGCTGAATGTCATTAACGCGTCATCATTGATTTAGTGTCTTATCGCATACTACTTACTACTCTCTTGTTTAATAATATTTTTTTATCGTATCGTCGTATTTTGATTTTTCTACTTGGCTGATACGTAGGAAGAAAGATCAATTGTGCATTTCGAGTCGCATTCGAGTCGAACAGGAAAGTTAAGTTGATAAATAAGCGAGACGTATCATCACGCATTTCTTATCTATTAAAATTCCCAGTTTCTTTCCCAGTTATTCCCCATTCGATACAAAGAACACAATTAACAGAGCGTGGAGACCGAACGTTTACTTTAATGCTGAATACCCCAATTTTTCTGCGCCTGCTATCACGGAGGAATGTAAGGTCGTTATGCGTTAACGCGAAATATGATCGTTGTTTGTTACTCACTCAACATTTGCAGGCCAAACATTACAAGAAAGCCGACGAGGATCGAGACGTATTGCCTCAGTCCGGTGCGATGTTCCTGCAAAATCTCGAAGAACACGACGTAGAGCAGAGTTCCCGAAGCCAAACCCTGAAACGAGAGGGGGAATAAGAATACTCCTTTTTTTTCATTCGCACATATCGTGCGACTAATCGGCAAATAACGGCAAATAATCGGCATTCCGAGTCTTCTATAAATAGATATGAAGATGTTTTCCGAGGCGCGCTGTTTTGTCGCGTTGTTTATCATTACAGTTTCCCCGAATCCGATTATGTTTATCTCGAGCCGGTATTTCCCGTCTCCAAAGAGAAACTTGCCTGCAGTATCACCGCCATCGGTCCACTCGCGGCCGCGCTTCCACCGCCGACGAGGGCCATCCCGATGCCGATTCCTATCGGCGACACCACGGCGAACGTGCACGTGTAGATCACGGACAGGTACGTCCTGGTCCTGGATGCGATCAATTCCACGCCGATGCAGAAGGCGATGACGAATTTGTGGGACGCCACCGCGAGGAACATGTACCTGCGTGCGAATCGCATCGTTTATCATATTGCCCGATCGATCTTTCATTCAGGGAAGGGGGGGGGGGGAGGAGGCGACTTGATGATCGTGTTCGATCGCTCCGAGAACGATTATTGATGTCATAGTGCTCACTTCCTGAAGCGAGATGGACGTAGAAGAAGCGAGCGTTGGAAGAAGAAAGAATATAAAAAGAAAGGATACTATGACGTCATTAATCACGACCAAGACCCACTTCAGGATTCAGAAACACTGGATGTATTATTTTGCCTTTGTTTTTCATCTCTGTTTTACAAGGATAAAATGATACCTGGGGTGTTATTTTGTCTGAACACGCCCTCCCTTCCCCCTCTCCCCGCGAACGAAAATGCTATAGGAAGGGCTCGCGCTCGAATTGGGGATCGGGGATTGTTTATCATTCGCGATTTGCAATTACCAGACATGACCGGCGGAGCTCTCCAGGCCGATCGCCAGTCCTTCGAATAACTCGTGCACGGATAAGCCGAGTACTATTAATAAGCCTCTAAGCGAAGTTATCACAAAGTCGTCGTCGTCGTCGTCGTTCGCTATCACCGGTAAGTGACTGTGGCCCCTATAAATTGAAAGGAGATGAAGTTTCCCGCCGTTTCTTCGCGCCGGCGAAATGTCATCGGCACGGCGGCCGATATAAAACGATTGATAAATTCATTTCGAGTAAACAGGCTTACCCGTGTGCGTGACCGTTGCTGACGCGCGACACCGACATCTCACCCTTCTCCACCAATTCGCTCGTGCTGCGATTCACGTCCTTCTTGTGGGTATCCTGCCGACCCGCTTGTCGCTTCCTCAGGTACGTGTGCACAGATTCCTCCACCAGATACATGATGAAGAACCTGCGGAAATAATCGTAATTATTTTCCTCAAACAATCAGGTTCAGGTGATATTTGATAAATTTGAGAATGTTAAACATTAATCGTGTCGATAAAATTAATATCTCGATTATTAATTCGTGGAATTAAATGTGAAACAAATAATTATCATCATCGTGAAATCGCGATTATGTGAAATAGATTATTATATCAGAGAGAAACTTTTTTTTAAAGAACAAATTTTGCATTTCGCTTCTTATTGCGAGAGTGTGTTGCCTGTTCGTGAAGAAATATTTTCACGTTCGCGAAGTAGGATTTTTACTTCGCGAACGTGACCTGTACATACGTAATGACGTCAAAGGATTGACTCACCCGGCGCATGCAAGCATATCCGCCAATGAAAAGTTGAGCGGATTCATTTTGCCAGATTCAACCAGATTTTGCACGCCTTCCGCCACTTCTGGTATCAAGTGAAGGAACGTCGTGCTGAAGAGAACGCCTCCGCCGAAGCCAAGTAGAATGCCCACCATTCTCATCGATCTATGCGCAATAAAGCGATAGTTAGTTGATTTAACTCGTTAATTCGACCGTATTACATCATCGGTCTTAAAACGGTATCGGCGAGACGGAAAGTGTCTCACTTATGTCATTTAAGGATTACATCGTCGTAATCATTTGAGCATCGCGGCAAATCTACGCCTTGAATCGTTTCTGGAACAATTCCTCTACTCGCTTTTCTACATACATTACCATACAGATGTTTAGATGCAGACATAAAATAGACTTTTATATTACTATTATTTATCGACTTTTATATTTATCTCATGGTTATTAAATATTTTTTCCACATGCGAGTAAACGTATCAACGAATTGAATATTTACACTATTCATTCGTCATTTAATTCATAAAAGTATAATATTTAAGAAAATGCGCGCGTTAGTAACTTTTTTTGAGGATTACCGACTATTTCTTGAATTACCGTTGAAATTCATGTCTTTACCTAGGATTTTGACTGCTCATATCCCACTTTAACCACTTGGCTAGTAACATCGGTACGATGCCCATAATCGTGCTGACGGTGCATAAAACCACCATGGTGACGGCCTTGGCGGTCAATACATCCTTTTCCGAATCCTTGGGGTGAGTTCCATCGTCGTGATAAGGCGACGTGTCGTTTATTCCCACCGCAGCGAGCAAGTACTCTATTAACGACATGGTGACGAATCTTCCAACTCTTATTCACTGTAAACAAAATAATTGAGATATAAGAAATAATCTTACAAGTCGCTTAGGATAAAGAAATATTAAATATTCAATTAAAGATAAATTTCAAATAATATTAAGATGAAAATCTAAATCTAATTCATATTTCTTAAAAGATGTAAATTAATAATATTATATTATATTATAAATATTAAATCTAATAATGTTTTAGAATAGTTCAAATTGAATTGCTCTACATTTCGATTTTTTTTTTTGTATATTTGCTCTGTCGTCTGCCGCATTTTTTAATGAAGCTCTCATCAAAATTCGTTCGCGAAGAAACGTGCCTAATCTTTTTACTACCGAGCTTTATCTAGACATTTCTCGCGGATATTTATTATAGTCAGCAGTTAAACGTCGACTCGGGCATTTTAAACACATTTTATCTCTTTTTATGGGTTTCAGGATATTTCATTACCGCGCAAAAATTCTATGTCAGCATATTATTTTTAAATAAAAGAAAATATTATCTTCCTACATTTCCAAAATGTTCAAGCTTTTCCAATTGTTATATTTATATCTTTAATATAAATATATAAATTCTTCCTTCCTCCTTATCTCTCTTTCTCTCTCCCCTCCTCTCTCTTTCTTTATTATTAGATTTATCTCAATTAAAGTAATCGCATAATCTTTTACTAATCAAGGATCAAAAGTCAAGTCTCTGTACAATGTTACTGATAATAGTAAATTCACACTTCCTGGATTTTATGATTAAAAAAACCATTGTATTGTAGTAGATGTTACTGATTAAAAAAATTTTCAGATATGTTAAACCGCTATATAATTAAATTCATAGTTCTATTTTTAAAAAGATAAAAACTATGTAGACAAGATGTCCTTCGAAAAATTTATTTGGAACGATTGTTTAATTTCCTTTTCTTTTTTTTCCATTACTGATTAATATATATCTTATATCTCAAAAGAAAGCAACTGTGTTATCTCGATGATATACGATAATAGTTTTACATCGCTTAAAAATTTGGATGGCTTTATTATCTCGATGAAACTTGTGTCCGAAATCTGTTATTATGTAATTTACGAAACTTGATGCGAATATATCTGGAACACTAAAAATTTCTTCGGTCTGAAACGCAGGTCTTTGTAAGAAAAAAAAAAAAAAATAGATTGCATCAGCGATGACGCGAAAGCGCAGTAAACAGTTATTTCAAAACCTCTGGTGTTGAAAAATTAATTAACAGGCGGCGCGATTTCACGGAACCTAACAATAAAACAATTGCCGGATTATTTCTCGAAACATTAAATCTTGTTGCGCCTAGGTCATTATATATATTTTATTGTTAAGTATCGCAACATATTCAGTCGAATGCAAGTAATTAAGTTGATTGAAATAATAGTTTCACACATTATTATAATTAACCTCGTGAGATGAGCTCAGAAGCGTTTGCAGAAGCCAACTAACATCTATTAATGTGTGTGTCTTTTTTTTTTTTTTTTTTAACTCTAAGATTACGGCGCGTAGATAATTTTTCTTTTTCTAAGTAAAAGAGATATCAACTCCTTTGACAAGAAAGGTCAGTGATAAAAAATTACAGTCATTTAGATGTAAATTACACGTCGAATAAATCAACACACATCGAATGACGATTGTTCTCTCATCGTGTACCTCTTCTAATATTTTTCTATTAGCTCTTTCCCTCGCAACAACACTCCCTCCTCAAGTGTGACGTCTAACGCACACGTTTGCGACACCGTGTATAATCACGAGAGTCGACGCACTACTAATCGCACTGCCTTTTCCTTCGAGCTTATATATACACGGTGTGCTATTCGGTATCGTCTTCCGATCTCTTCACGTTGCGATCGTCACGTCGTCGTCATGAGCGTCGTGAGATAACGCGTTCGCAGATGGTAACGGACCCACTGTCGGGCGCAACGACGGGCATTTATCTATGTACATATTAACACGTGTCGACGTGTATGTGTGAATGCATACAAGTGTATATGTTCGAGCACGCACGTGTAGGATTTCTGTGTGAAAAATGATAATGATCGGCCTGCGGCCGAAGGATAAGGAATCGATGATGCGGAGGACGGCATCTCGCCTTGCGACATTCGGATGATGATCGATTACAACATAGTATTATAAAAAAAAAAAAAAAAGAAAATGGAAACAGAAAGAAGAGAGAGATTCGTGCAAGTGCATATTTTTTCTATTTGTTCTTTTTTTTTATTTTTTCTATTGATTTTAATCGATTCGTATACAGAGAAAACAGTACTGTTGGCTAGATGTGGATTTGAAAATAATTTTGTTGAATCACCAAAATTATTATATAAGATGCTTAAACATGATAATAACATAGTACAATTTTTAATTTTTTTATTAATCAATTCGTATGTCGTGTATAACCCATTTTGAAGGCTCAACAAAATTACTTTCATTTTAACCAACAAAACTGTCCTCTCTGTATATACGAATCGATTAAAATCAATAGAAAAAGAATAAATAAATAAATAAATAAATAAACGAAAGCCAGCAATACTGTTTCTTTTCCGCGTGAAAACCAAAGTCATTGTACCAGGTTTTTTTCCGATCGTTTGGTTCCCGCGCGTTCGCGCGGTCACATCGATCTGTCGATCGGCGGCATTCCTTCGTTCTCTCAGAGGAGGCGAGTGGAAATTGTTGCAAAAAAAGAAACTCGTCCGAGACGTGGGAATAATCGGTAATCCCACCGCGCCGATCTTTTCGCTCGTGCCGATTTCGGCGGCGCGATTTAACGGCTGCTCGCTCGTTAGTTGTTTTACCCGACTCGTGCAATCGGCACGAACGCCGGGAAGAAGTAACAGCCTTTGAAATGTGCGGCAGTGCTAGGCACCGCAGCGCTCGAATGCAGTGAAAGTGCAGTGCGGTGTGACCCTCCGACGGGTAAAAAAAAAAGTCAAAAGTCACTGGAGCGTGGGGGGAGGAGGGGGAGAGGGAGAGATTTCTGTTGTTCAAGGTAAACGTTCCGCGAGATCACGGTGATCGATCGCGAGCGATCGACCGCATATCTTGGATGTTCGTAGGAAAAAAAATTAATCTTAAATTAAGACGGATATTCTCTACGTGTAAGCGAGAATGATTTACTATATTTTAAATTATTTTATATTTATTTTATATCATATAATTTATTATATTATAATTTATTTCTTAGAAAAATTTTAATCGTAATTAGATTGAATTTATATCTATAGTATCTTAAGTATGAATATTCTCATATAATCAGATAATACTTGTACCGATACAAATTCAATCAAATCAAGACTAAAATTTTAAAAAGACAGAAGATTATAATATTCTTGATGATATGTGAAAATATCTGTCTTGATTTAAAATTAATTTCTTTCTCTTTCTCTCTCTCTCTCTCTCTCTCTCTCTCTCTCTCTCTCTCTCTCTCTCTCTCTCTCTCTGTGTGCGCGCGCGCGCGTGTGTGTGTGTGTGTGTGTGTGGAATTCCTCTATGTCTTTTCGTATTAAAAATCCATCAATGAACGATTAATCGACTAAGAATATCAAACTCCAGGAAGATCCTATCGAGAATTAAATTCGTGGAAGTGAAAAAAATCATGGGAAAAATAATTTTCCCGTTTGCTCGTTCAAAAATTAATTTACTTAAATTATTCTTTATCTTTAGATATTTTCCATTGTTTCGGGCGATCCGTTCAACGATTAGTTCATCAGATGTTTTTTTCTTTGCTTTTCCTCCACGGTCGTTAATTAATCCACATTTAAACAGTTGATACGATCATCTCGATATTTTTATGATTATGTAATCCCATAAGAGGCTCATATGTAAATAAGTATCGGTCGATTACGCATCGCTATCGTCGCACGTAGGCACGATCGAAAGCACGTACTTATGTACTTATGATCGGTGTCTCCGATATTGATATCTGAATCACGAATCGACCGAATCTCTCGAATCGAATTTCAACGAACGAATAACGGAAGATTAATATCGCGTAAAGCAGAAGATAATAGATCGGGAAGTTCATCTATCTGTCATCCGGAAAATATCATCATAACTAAAAATGGTTTATTAGCATAATGTTATTAGCGTAATTACTAAAATTACGTTATGTTGAGCGATATCGATATCAGCCTTATTAATATTAACGAATCATAACACGAATCATAACAACCACATCGGCTATTAATAGTTCATTTTATTAGTTACATTCATTCGAGCCTGGCATAAACATCACATTTCGCATCATCTCGCCGTCGAGTTAATAATCATCATTGGAAATACCACACACATGTGCACGGATGGGATCCGATAAAATGTGACAGCTTCCAACTGCTGACGCGGCGGTTCGGCCGATTATACGATTTTAAACGCAATGAGCAGGCATCGCACGTACATTTGCATTTGCATTTCTCCAGTGATTCCCGCAAATACACAGGGAATTCCCTCGCACGAGGAAAAATGCGGCTAACCACATTAAAACACCGGGACCGGATGGGATATGAAATTTATCCCATAATTTCTAATACTTAATTCTAATACGAGAGAGAGAGAGAGAGAGAGAGAGAAGAAACTAAGTAATTTTACTGATATATAACATAATAAAATAAAAGTC